GGAGACTTAAGTTTCTTTCTGCCTGTTTTATCTTCCTTTTTACTTTTGGTTCTTATTCTCATTTAAAAAAATGTGTATCAATATGTAACTCTGTCTTTAAACTTGATTTATGTACACTTTTGCCAGAGAAGTTTTTTAAAAAATTTTTAATGTAGTTACCTATCTATTCTCTTCTCACCTTCTCAGGGATAATTAACTCCGTGGACAATGACCTGGCCCTTTCAGCATCAACCTTACCCTCTATAGAATCGTTGCAACAGATGAGAAATGGACTCTAGTCTGTCCCCACATTAAAAACAAAACAAAACAACTCTCCTTGACCCTTCATCTTTTTCTAATTACTGTCCTCTTTTGAGAAATTTTGCTATGAAGTAAAGCAAAAAGTTTTTCTATTCTACTTCCTCTCCTCCTGTATATACTCATTTCAGCATTTATCATCTTAAATCATCTGAAGTTGTTGGGATCATTCTTTGTTTTTATTGTCTGTTTCTTCTATTTAAACATCAGCTCTATGATGAAAGGGACCAAATCTGTTTTATCTCAACTTCTGGCACATTGAAGCTTCTCAATAAATAGAGTAATAAGAGTGAATAAATGCTTAATTTTAAAAATTAGGTCATACTTGTAATTAGCCTACTCAGAAAATTTTCCTGAGATTGACTACTTCTCAGACTGGCAGGACAGGATAAGAAGATCTTCTGTATGTCAGTAATTCCTGAAAAGAACAAGAAAACCAGACATTTGGGAATATAATTTGGAGCAGAGTTTGCAAACTCAAATGTCTTTGGCAAGTGACAAGAAATACAGAGGTTATCATGTGCAAGCCACAGTGAGTGGTCAGTATCATCACAATCCAGAGACCCCAGCTCTGGCCCATGCAGACTGTGGCCAAGTGGCATTGACAGTACAAGAGGGAAAGATATTCCCAAGTCTTCAAAAGAAGATAAGGGCTGGGGTTGTGGCTCAGTGGTAGAGCACTTGTTTAGCATGTGTGAGGCCCTGGGTTTAATTCTCGGCACCACCACATACAAATAAATAAAATCAAGGTCCATCAATAACAAAAATATTTAAAAAATAAAATCATGGCATTTGCAGGTAAATGGATGGAGTTAGAGAAGATAACACTAAATGAAGTTAGCCAGTCCCCAAAAAACAAATGCCGGATGCTTCCTCTGATATAAGGAGGTTGATTCATAGTGGGGTAGGGAGGGGGAGCAAGGGAGGAATAGGTGAACTCTAGATAGGGCAGAGGGGTGGGAGGGTAAGGGAAGGGGGCAGGGGGTTAATGAGGATGGTTAATGTGATAGACATTATTATCCAAAGTACATGTATGAAGACACAAATTGGTCAACATACTTTATTTACAACCAGATATGAAAAATTGTGCTGTATATGTGTAATAAGAATTGTAATGCATTCTGCTGTCATTGATTTCTTTTATTGATTTAAAAAAAGTTTGCATACCAACTAGAATTGGGTTTGGCTGTAAATAGTGACTTGAAGCAGCAGCTTAAGTGAAGTAAAAATGTCTTTCTCTAACACACACGCACACACGTGCGCGCGCTTAAGGGTGTCCAGGGCTCATGGGACTTGTTGCTTGGTGTGGCATGGCTTTCATTCCTTAAATCATTTGCAGACCTAATGGGCAGATGTGACTCCAGCCATTACTGCCTCATTCCAGGCAGCAGGAAGCAAAAGAGAAAGGAAAGCCCTGGTGTTCTTTTATAAGAATTCCTGAGAGCTTCCATTCCTCACTTTCATCATTTCATTTGGAAACTGGCAAATGTAATCTTCATTCAAAGTGAACTAGCTGTGCCTATCTAAGGAAGAAGGGGAGAATGTGGATCGGAATTCTAAATCGGGAGTCTCTGCCAGAGCTGGCTATTTATGTGAAATTCTTAAGTTTTTGCTGAGAAGCAGAACATGTCAAATATAGCATGTCCATCATCTGGTCTCAGCAGAAGAGTTGCCAGCAGTGGGAGCTGGGAACCCTGCTTAGAGGAACAAATGTGAATGGTGTGCATTTCTGTGACATGTGGCACAACCAGCAAGTGTGGACTGATGAGGGTCAAACAGATGAAGGTTAGCAAGGTTTAGTCGGGGAGTGCAAACAGGAATGTGTGCCGGCAGCCTGGAGAGTGGGGAGCACTGTAAAGACGGGCAATGCAGAAAGGGTGAGGAGGTACAGCCTCCCCCACCTCCTAGGGGATTGGCAGCAGCCTGGGAGGACCCTGCTTCCCTCCCCTTAAATCTAGGCAATTGTTCTAAGGGGTACAATTTCCACCTCCTTTGAATTCTAAAGTCACTTTGCCAAAGGTACCTTCTTATACCAGGTCAGGTCACCCTTTCTGGAGGGATAACCAGACCCAAACTCTCCAAGAGCTCACCAGTCCTCTCCAATAGCCCAAGTCACCCTGTTATACCTGGGCTTGGCCCAGTCTCAGATCAGTGAGAATTCCCTCTAAGTGCTGAGTCTCCCAGCCAGGCTGACCTTGTTTCTCTGAGAGGCATCAGGTTATGGTGGAAAGCACTGATTTTGCAGGTACACTTCCTTCTCTTTTGTCTTAGCATGATTGTCTACTGGCTGAGCAGACTATAAATACTTTCTTGGGTAAGAATGCTCTTAGCTACAATTTACACTAACAAGAGTGTTTTTTAAGATTCATAGGTATCACTAATGTAAAATATTTGGGGTTTTATTTGTTGTATTTTTGTTTGTTTTGGTCCTAGGGGTTGAACTCTGGGGCATTCTATCACTGAACTACATCCCCATCCCTTTTTACATTTTATTGAGTCAGGGTCTCTAAATTGCTGAGGCAGGCCTTGAACTCAGGGTCCTCCCGCCTCAGACTCCTGAGTTGCCAGGATTACAGGAGTGTACTAACTCAACTCTGCCTGTAAAAAGGCCTTTGTTGAAACTTAAATTTATGTGAAGAGCTATTAAAAAAAAATTTTTAAGGCTCCAGTAAAAATTCTTTATAACCATCTATATATTTGAAATTAAGGACTTTATTGGCACAAACTCTGCAATGGAAAGTATTAACCCAGTAGGATGGATAGTAAGAATCAGCTCCTGTCTTAAACACACATGAAAAAAGATGAATTTTCAGTGCCATGGTTTAGCTTCTGGCCACCACCCCAGTGAAATCCAGATTGTTCTGCGGAGGGCCAGATCACATGCGCTCTATGCCCTTCTCCCCCAGAAGTGAGAAAGCGTTTCTATACACAGACATCTATACACACAGAAGACCCAGTGAACTGAGAGGAATAAGGTTATAAAGAGAAGCTGGGCTTAGCCATAGCCCATAGTACAGTGAGTGGACAGCACACATACCCTGGAGGGACAAGCCCTTGAATTTATGGGACCATTGCCAACCTCACAGTTGGGGGTGCCTGTTGAGTGATGCCACTGCACACACAGAAGTCACACGTTTTACTTGTTTGTAAAAATTTCAGAACATAAAGTTCCCCAAAAGCCCTTTAACAAGGAATCAAAATGACAAAGGTTTAGAAAGTGATTTTTGTATATGGTAAAGGCTTATACAGTGATCGGGTAGTTTGACATAAATCTACCCTTGGCATAAAAGCGAGATTCCACTGCAGAGCCACTCACAGCACACAATATACCTTAGGGTCTAAGTCAGTCTCCTAATTAAGTTTGCTGTTGGATTCAGCATGTGCAGTTGTAATTGGCTAAACAGCAAATCCCTCAACATCTGCTTTCTAGCTGGCACAGGCTTGACATTTAATGTTCAATTACTAAATGTGTCTTCTATAAATGAAATGATGAACAAATAAAGCTACTTGTGTTTGAGGACTAATAGCAGATGAGTGGTTGAGTATCTGAATTTTAGCCTGCTTATGTTAGTTTTCTGGACTATGTTACATAAACACACCATCAGGCTGCCTATTTCTGCAAAATGTGGTTTATTAGTATAGTTTGGTACAACTTTAACCCTACCTTTTCCAAACTTAGTCATGTCAATAATCCTTTAAAAATCATGCTACATTATTTCAAAGGAAAATGTCAAGCTGAACATATTTTTAAAAAGTGCTAGAAAATTATTCCTATCAAAACCTCATTTCACTGTGTTAGCTTCCTATTCTAACACAGTGCTTATCGATCTAATGTCAATGTGAATACACATCAACCAGGTACTGGTTTTCTAAAGTAATTACTTTGCAGATACCAAGATGATCGAGTCCTGGGGCTGTGCACAGAGAGGCCAAAGGGAAGCCATGTGTGCCGCCGCATGTTCCTGGGTGACCTCCCTCCTGTGAGCAGTATCCAGTCTTTGATTAAAATTGCAAATGACCCAAATGGAGAGGGGGAAAAAAAATCTTCGAGAAGGAAAGGGAACCAGAAAGCTAAGAAAAAAATGCAATGTTGGGCTGAGTCTTGTGGGGGAGGTGTCCCAAGTTGGATGCATAGGTCACAAGGATCATGTCATTACAGTTCAGAGGGCAACATATGGACACCAGCTTAGGAGGACCTATCAGGCCAATGAAAACATGTCTGACCATGTCAGAGACCTTCCAAAGATACTCCAGTGGAGTTAGTGTCTATGAAACTGGATCTAATCTGAGCTAAGGAAACAAGAATAACAGAGTTTTCCTGTTTCTCAGGTTCTGATATATTTGGGTTGGGAGCTGGGTGAAAGCCAGCTTTTAAGTGAAAACAGTGTTTTATTATGACACTATTTAAAAAAAAAAAAAAAAAAAAAGCCTGAAACTGTTCACTGCCAAAGCCAAGAGAGCTTGGCACTGGTGTGTAAATCTCTCACCCAGGAAATCCATCCCTCCTACTGAACTGTTGGATAAACCAACCTGTGGCTTTGTCTTTCCACTTCTATACCAGACCCTATTACAGGGAGTGCAAAGAGCCAAACCTTTAATAAGTTGCCATACATTTGGCAACTTATTAAAAGATTCAAGGGTTGTTCAATACAATCACTTTATGTGACAAACAGGAGGCTGAGAGAGTCCCAACAGCTCAGGTAGTTTTTGTTGTTGTTGTTGTTTTGCGGCCGGGTAAAACCATCTCTCATTCAGCAGTGTCCACATATAGCAAATGGGGCTCTCTTCTTTAAGGTTGCTTGATGGGAACCAGTACCATGAAGGGCACTTCAGAAGTCCCTCGGCTCTTCTACTCAGAGGACATTCTGCTAATTGACACAGTTCTTTGTGATTCTTTTACTTCTGTCCATCTGTCGGATGCTGTCTGTAACGTTAATGGTGACTTCTTTTGCAGACATCCTCTTGGTATCTCTTTTAGCCTGTTTAAAAAAAAAAAAAAGGTTTGAAACAGTGAATTGAGTTACTAAGAGATTAAAAAAATCCTCACATTGACATTAATTTCTGTTAATTGTTACAAACACACAGGTCAGAAGAATGACCTACAAGAACACATGTAAGTTCCTACTCAGTGGTATTTTAAGTTAAATTTAGAACATGAAAAATATAACAATTGTACATATTAATGGTGTATCATGTTTCTATATATGCATACACTTATTTTCAGAGATTTCTCTGAATTTCCAATGCCAGGTTCTCACCTAGTGAGAACCTGGCAACAGACATATTCATTATTGAGCAAATGAATTCGCTAACATCCATCAAAATAGATAAAAGTTCTCAGTTGGCTTTAATAGGGTGCTTAAGTTTTTGAGCTCTGGAGTCAGACTTTGGTTCAAATATAGTCTATATCATTCACCATGGGCAATTATTTTTTAAAACGTTGCTAATCTTACATTTCCTCACCTGTAAAATGGGGAATAATATCTACCTCACAATGTTGTTATGGTGCATACCATACTGCCTGTTACTAAATAAAATGGTAGGGGAAAAACTCTTGCAGAGTAGAATTATTCCATGTCTAAGTAAAGACAGATCAGTGATAAAGCCTAGGATTAACTAAGTATTAAAGCATTAAGTAAATTATAAGTTCTTCAATATGTGCCCACCCACCACTTCTCCCAAGGTGAAAATGACTAGAAGTGGGGTTTATTTCATGCCCATTCCACTCAACTGTAAGCATGGCGTGACTTGAGATGAGCCTTTCAAGTCTCCCCAGGGATGCGTGAGGTTATGTGCTGCCCATCCCCCCTCCAGGGAGGACCTGCTGCCCAGCTCCAGGGAATACTGTCAGCAGACAGCTTATAGTTGTCCCTTCAGGAGTGACTTCAGCTTCAGAGAGCCACCTCACTCAAGGTTGAACTTCTGTAGGTGGCCCAGTGTGGTGATGAAGGGAAGGAAATAAAGACTTGACCCTTTTGGCCTAAGGTAGGCCAGGTCTGGTGTGCCATTCAGCTGCAGAGCTCCCATGGGAGCTGACAGAGGCTGCTGTCTGACTGTACGGTGGCTCATCTTCCCCTTCCACAGGTGGTGACCCTAGGGGCACTTCCTACTGAACATCCTGTGTAATGATACGTCACAGTCTGCTTCCTGGAAAACAGTCTCAGATCCTGTGGAGCAGCTCTTATGGAGCAAGGATCTGTCCATGCTGGCTGTGAGTCTGGAGTTGCTAGATGTCTGTTTTTCATTCAGCATGGCCCCTAAGCACAAGCCAACCATGTCATCCATAGGCATCCAAAGAAATGGTGGACTGTTCCACCACTGGACAAAAAATAAGCAGCTCTGAATTTATTAGCAAATTATAGGTAGGTTTCTATCATGTCAAATAAAAACCTGTATATTTATAGTGGCTGCTGGTGATGCCCCCCTACACATTCCATTTATTCAGCTGATACCTCTGGCTCCCAGCTACTAAGCCTTGGCTCTTAATTACTCATAGTAGCACTGTTCCAGAAACTGTCATCATATGATTGGAGCCACCTATCCCAGAAATGCCAAAGAGGTTACACACAAATTCCCGGCCCTATCCAGTGTCTGATTATTGGGATTAAAAAAAAAAAAATCTGGTTTTTGGGGGGGTGGAGACTGTGAAAGATGAAGTTTGGCCAGGCATGGTGGTACATGCCTATAATCCCAGCAGCTCAGGAGGCTGAGGCAGGAGGATAATGAGTTCAAAGCCAGCCTCAGTAAAAGGTGCTAAGCAACTCAATGAGGCCTTGTCTCTAAATAAAATACAACATGGGGCTGGGGATGTGGTTCAGAGGTTAAGTGCCCCTAAATTCAATCCCAGGTACCCTCCCCCCCCGCAAAGTGCTACCTCTTCTGCCTCATAGAGCTACAAATCTGTAGCCACTCATGTTCCAGAGCTGCTTATAGTATGAAGATAAGTCCAAACTACAACTATTCAGCTCGGCTCTCATGCTTGCTGAACTTGATCCTCTGTCCTAACCTTCTGCCCCCACTAACATGCAAGTTTCAATCAATCCCTTGCATCTTAGGCCAGGTTTCCAAGAAGCAGAGCCTAAGATAATAATTTGAGTGATCTGAGGGGCACTCAAGGAAAATCTCAACTGTCGCTTTAGACTTATTCATTAATTTCAAGAATAGGTTTTCACTATTTTCCTCTTAATGTTCCTGGCACACCTCATCAATTCTGAGACATAGGAGGCCCTCAATTTAACTTTGTTCATCCATCCATCCATCCATCCACTCAAACAAGCACCCTGCCCTTGTCCATGTTCTTTTGCTTTAAAAACCATTAGTCAGTACTGTTTAGATTTCTGTCTTACACTGAGGTCTTTGAAGCTGGAACTTGCATCAGGACTAGCACTTACCTCCTACCTGTTCATCACACAGGTGCTGTGCAGGAAAAGAAGTTACCAATGCTGTGACCTAAAGAAAGATGCGGTGATGATGAGGCCAGTTCCATTGGACTTTTATTTGGGGCATTATTACTTGAATGCTTTGAAAACGGGAGCAGGGAATAGACAGAGGCCATGATTGAAATGAGCTAAATTGCTGGCAGAGTCCCCCTAAGTTGGTGGGGGATAAGAGTTTTCCAGAATAGAAATACAAACTTTACAAACTACAAAAGTACTTTTCTTTAGAACAGTATTGGCAAGATTTTACAAACGGTTATTTAAGATTATACACAGAAAATGTTCTGTTGTATTTTGGTCAATTTTTAAGTTTAAAAAAATCTGAGCAAAAATTCAGTAGTTGGATGATTCTGTATTTCTAAGCCTGTGTAAAGAGTCAAAGGGTACAAAATCCTTAGAGCAGCCACTGAATCACAACTATAGCGGGACAGTTTCTTAAATCTGTGGATCATAAGTCTGTACCATGGAATGTTCAGGGCATAAGCCTTGGAGTCAGACCTGGACCTAGTGAAAACCTTGCTTTAACCTAAGTCTTATTCTCTTACCTGAAAAACAGGGAAATAATGCCTGCTTCTTAGATATTTGGAGAGAATTAAGTGTGTCACTTAGCATTGAAAAAGTGATCAATTCTGGTTTGCCTAGGACTGTCCCATTTTAAAATAAAAAGTCCCACATTGCAGAATCTTCTCCAGGCCCTAACAAATCAGGACACTTAGCCACCCCTGTTATAGCTATTGTCATTAATTTCATTTGAAAAGTTGTGTCAGGAAACATACCAAATTGATGTCATCATTTTAATATAAGGTTTTTGATAACTACTACTTCTAAATGGCAACGACAAATACTTGGGAATCAACCTAACAAAAGAGGTAAAAGACTTATACAATGAAAACTACAGAACCCTAAAGAGAGAAATAGAAGAAGATCTTAGAAGATGGAAAAATATACCCTGTTCATGGATAGGCCGAACTAATATCATCAAAATGGCGATATTACCAAAAGTTCTCTATAGGTTTAATGCAATGCCAATCAAAATCCCAACGGCATTTCTTGTAGAAATAGAGAAAGCAATCATGAAATTCATATGGAAAAATAAAAGACCCAGAATAGCAAAAACAATGCTAAGCAGGAAGTGTGAATCAGGCGGTATAGCAATACCAGACTTCAAACTATACTACAGAGCAATAGTAACAAAAACAGCATGGTACTGGTACCAAAACAGGCGGGTGGACCAATGGTACAGAATAGAGGACACAGAAACCAATCCACAAAACTACAACTATCTTATATTTGATAAAGGGGCTAAAAGCATGCAATGGAGGAAGGATAGCATCTTCAATAAATGGTGCTGGGAAAACTGGAAATCCATATGCAACAAAATGAAACTGAATCCCTTTCTCTCGCCATGCACAAAAGTGAATTCAAAATGGATCAAGGAGCTTGATATCAAATCAGAGACACGCCGTCTGATAGAAGAAAAAGTTGGCTACGATCTACACTCAGTGGGGTCGGGCTCCAAATTCCTCAATAGGACACCCATAGCACAAAAGTTAATAACTAGAATCAACAAATGGGACTTACTCAAACTAAAAAGTTTTTTCTCAGCAGAAGAAACAATAAGAGAGGTAAATAGGGAGCCTTCACCCTGGGAACAAATCTTTACTCCTCACACTTCAGATAGAGCCCTAATATCCAGAGTATACAAAGAACTCAAAAAATTAGACAATAAGAGAACAAACAACCCAATCAACAAATGGGCCAAGGACCTGAACAGACACTTCTCAGAGGAGGACATACAGTCAATCAACAAGTACATGAAAAAATGCTCAACATCTCTAGCTGTCAGAGAAATGCAAATCAAAACCACCCTAAGATACCACCTCACTCCAGTAAGATTGGCAGCCATTATGAAGTCAAACAAGTGCTGGCGAGGATGTGGGGAAAAGGGTACACTTGTACATTGCTGGTGGGACTGCAGATTGGTGCAGCCAATTTGGAAAGCAGTATGGAGATTTCTTGGAAAGCTGGGAATGGAGCCACCATTTGACCCAGCTATTCCCCTTCTTGGTCTATTCCCTAAAGACCTAAAAAGAGCATGCTACAGGGACACTGCTACATTGATGTTCATAGCGGCACAATTCACAATAGCAAGACTGTGGAACCAACCTAGATGCCCTTCAATAGACGAATGGATAAAAAAACGTGGCATTTATACACAATGGAGTATTACTCTGCATTAAAAAATGACAAAATCATAGAATTTTCAGGGAAATGGATGGCATTGGAGCAGATTATGCTAAGTGAAGCTAGCCAATCCCTAAAAAACAAATGCCAAATGTCTTCTTTGATATAAGGAGTGTAACTAAGATCAGAGTAGGGACGAAGAGCAGGAGAAGAAGATTAACATTTAACAGGGATGAGAGGTGGGAGGGAAAGGGAGAGAGAAGGGAAATTGCATGGAAATGGAAGGAGACCCTCAGGGTTATACAGTGGAGGGGGTAGAGAGAGGAGGGGAGAGGTGGGGAGGGGAGAGGGTGGAGGAT